AGCCCGAATGCTGGGAAGGCAGTTGTGTGAAATAAGTGTGAATTGGATATATTTAGAAAAGGAATGTTTTTATTGGACAGTTTAGCTTAAAAAAAGAAAGAAAGAATGATAGGCCTTGACTGTCAAAATGAGCATCAGTTTCAGAGGCCTTGGGGCAGGGGGTGCTTTACTGCTCCCAAACACCTGTATATCAGTGCTGTTGTTTTTAGTTGGCAGTCTTTCAGAAGGGATAGAATCTTTCCCTTTTCAATCTGCTTTTTTTTTGTATGAACATTCCTCTATTTATAACGATAAGTGACAGACAGAAAATGGTTTCCAGTATCCTTTTCTTTTTCTCCTTAAATTTTTAAAATCTTGGAATGATTACTTGGACGCTTCTGTACTTTGCTAGTGTGTTTAAAGCCTTTTTTGGCATGACTTTTGGGTCAGATGATTAGAATCGAATGTAGTCTCTCTCTAGCATAGACCTTAGAACACATTTATTCCTCATTCCTTTTGGATCATGGCTTTGGCAAAAGCTTTGGTAAAAGTGAAAGGAACATCAGTAATTCAAAATGTAGCAATCTTAAAGAGATGAAGGTAATTTCATGTATGTTGGCTCTATTTTGGTTAGTCTCTCTTACACTTTTTTAGTTTTGCTGTCACCTCTTTCTAGCCTAAAAATAGATTTCAACAATGTATATTAGATGAAATAGTTAAATCGAGGAGGGTGCAAATGATAAGATGCAAATTTTGTTTTGACTTGAAAGCAAACAAACATAAAACAAAGATGCATCTCCTTATTTTTTCATCCCCTAACTACTTGTTTATTGTTGCAGTGACAGATTTTGAGATTGATTTATCTTTTGTAAATGACCTTCACGTTTTCCCTGCTCCAATGACTAATCATTCTATTGCCAATATAAGCAATTTAATATGTTGCAATTTAATTGCAGTATTTCATTATGAGGGACAGACCTTATGTCATTCAAATCACTTGAGCAAGGCAGGCAGAAAGATCGGACAGAAAGGGATCATCTTGTCAAGGCAGGTATGTGTTGTGTACAGGTGAATATCGCTAGTCCAAAGTAAGTGGTTGTTTTTTATGGAAACTACTGTGACTTCAGCTCCTTATATGTACAGGCAAATATTTCTAAGACAGCCTTATTTTTTTTTCTTGGGGCAGGAGGAGAAATTCTGACATCTCTATATCAAGTACAAAGTGTTGCTTGCTTATTCCTAATTCCTGCTTTATCAGTTCTTGGTTAGGCTATTGCGGTTCTCTTTCATGAGTTCTCTGCCTTGTTTACTTTAGTAAAAGTGTTCATAGGCGTACAAATAGCTTTAGCTTTGTCAGTATTGCTGAGTGCAATATGCTAGTTGTATTTTTGTGCTTTCTTTTTTAAACTGGCTTCCAATAACAGATTATGTAGTCTGTTTCTGCGCTTTGATTTGGTCTTGCTGCTAGCTTTTGACAAAAGTTTTGTTTATCATGATTAAGTTTTGAGGCTTTTTGGAACATGCCACATTACTTTTAGCTGTAAAATAATCTTACATTATGCAGTGTCTGACTGTCTGCTTAGTAGTGTCCAGCAGGGAAATGTTCGTAGAATAACTTTCAGCAAAATGAAAGAGACTGAATGAACTGTTAAATTCTCTAATCATCTCCCCCCTCCCTTTTTGACTGAGGTCTCATAGATGAAGGAATATGTTTAGTGGCATTTTATACACTGTAATTATGACTTTGGGATGAAAATCCCTGAGGATTTGATTTCTCTGAGGACAGTCACTGTGACATGTTTTTCTTCCTTCTTGCAGGTAAATGGTAATTATTTTGGATAACGACAACATGATAGTCAGCTGTCTTGGAGCTGGTGGAATAACAGCATATAACTGAAAAGTCAGGCAGTTATGTCTGTGTGGCTTGTGTATTCGGCATAATGTCTGTACATAATAACACAAATAATTCTTTGTAAAAATACATCTTGAGAAAGAGGTGATATTTCTGCTAGGAGAGCATACTGAGTGAGCGTGCCAGTCTGTTGCTCCTTGACAGCTGAGTTCCAGCTCCATATCAACAACTGAATTAAATGAAAAGATTTTGCTAGTTCTTCTTATTTTAAAGATAAATTCGTTGGCAGAATGTTTTAAAAATGATGCTTGATCAACAGCTGTGCTTATTCTTCTCTCTCGGAATTTCTGGGAAGCCTCAAGCTTTGTTGCATCTGCTTTTAAAAAGGAGGCAATTTTTGTGTCTTCCTCTGTAGACTGAGAAACTCAAGTTAGCTTTCTTGACATACAGTTATTTGGAAGCAAGGCCCTGTAGTTTTACCACACGGCTGGGAACGGTGACCTCACCTAGCAGCTGAAAAGCGACCTTGTCTCCTTGCGCGTTTTCTGCCCTAGAGCTTTCTAGCAGGCTAGCTGGTCACGCGTTGGCTGTCCGGCTGCTTTATAAAACAGCAGCAGATAAACTCTCCATGGCGTTGGAGATAGTGGCCGTCCCAAACTCGGTCTGCTTCCCCACCCTCTTTCGAGCGCAGCCAGCCTTGGGGCAGGGTGATGGCAGATGTGCTGCCTGCCTTCCTCCAGGGTAAGCCTGTCCCCACCCTGGGAGGAATGCGGTGGCTCTCAGTGGTGCTGCTGAGCACGTTCCACTCCTTCGTATTTCTGCCTTACAAGAAAAGGAATGAGAAAACCAACAGGAAAATAAACCAAAGTCTGTCTGTCTATTTTTATGTTTTCTGGGACTTGGGGTTTAAAAACGAAGCTTCTGTAGGTGTCTGCTGCTGACGGTAGGAGTTCATGGGATGAGATCTGGGGTATGGGATAGGCGTACAGGAAGCTATTCAAACACACTTAATATCCCTGCCTTCAAATAGACCTTTGATACAAGCAACACAAGAATTACACTGTATTTGGGAGAGTTATTAAAGGGTGAATACACACATGATATCGAATGCAAAGTAGATTTTTTTTAACTTTTAAGATTTAAAATGGAATCTTACACTTTTAAAAAACAAAAAGTAATTGTGAAAACAGTGTTTTGTTTTCTCATTTTTCTTTTGTATGAAGAAACTACACTGAGTCACGTAATGTACTAGACAAATGTCTCCATGTAGATTTTTAATCGGGATGAGGTGTAGTAGAGAAGCAGGTTTTGACATTTGGGGGAGGAGGATTGCTACCTTTAAAGGACTGCTTTTTGGAACAGCTAGTTCTACAGCACGTGAGCAATGGTTATTCTTGACTGAGTCCAAAGTCCAAATACAGCAGCTGGTGCACAGTTACGATCCAAAAAGCATATAAACTTTGGGGACCTTTAGAAATAGGGTGAAACGCTGAGAGCAAGTCTGCCCCTTCCCAGCAAGCACTAATATGAAAGTAAGAATCATATTAGGACAGACATTAAGGAAAAATTGTCTGTTACCCGCACTGTGATACTGTAAGGATTGATACTGTGCTCTTTTTTATCAAGAGGCAAATAAGCGAGGCTGTCATAAAATAATGCATGGTCTTGAGGAGGTGAGTTGGTAATTTGTCCTTGCACAGTTTAAAAAGAAAGAGAGGAGGGCGAGCAGGAGGGGCACGCTGTGCAGTTAAGTTTAAAACTGAAGAGGTTTGCTTTTCCCAGAACAGATTAGGCAGTGGAGCACTTTGCCAAGTGATGTCCAAGACAGGAATGTAGGAGATTCCAGAGGGCTTGGACAGAAAGAATCTCACAGCTGTAGCAGCAAACACTTAGAGACTTGGAATATGACAAAAGGAGACTTAAAAAAAATGTTATTCTTTAACCAGTTTCTTTTAATCCACCTGTGGTAAAGTTGTTGCGAGGTAGGCTATGAGTGTGCTCCACTCTGGTGATTCTGCTTTCCTAGAAAGTAGTGATCTGTATGAACCTGATTTGAGATGTAAGCCATAAACTGATAAAATTTTATCACTGTTGAATATTTCTCTTGTTATAAATCCACAAAGTCTTGTCACGTATTCATTAAAGAAATGTTTCTTCCTTTCAGTTATGCATTGTATTAAGTCATGTTCTTATGGTAGCATTAGATAAACTTGACTTTTACAAAATTCTTTCCTGTTGCTAAGGGATATAACTTTTCCTGAAAAAGTAAGAAGTGTAAGAGCTGATCTGTAATCTTAAAGCATAAATGTGGAAAAATAACTTTCTTAAAACAATAAGTGTATCTTCCTGATTCTTGCATGCACCAATGCCTTCCCAAATACTGTTTCTGCACAATTACTGCCGAAACTGTGTGCATCGTGTTTTGTAGATAAGTTTTGCAGTCTAATGACTTGTTTGTTGCTCGGTGTGAAATAAAGCCCTTAAAGCTCAAAGCTGAGGGAATGTCACTTTCTTAGTTATGATCTAATGCACCTGTCTGTATGCATGAATGAAGTTAAATTGCATAAGCTTGTCAGAGCTATGAAAAATAACTTAAGCTACCCTTTATTATTAAAGGTCTGTCAGCAGACAGTAATGACTGACCCTTGGGTCTATATAAATGTGTTCTTTTAAGATAACACCTATTTTCTCCTTTCTGGAGTTTTGGGGAAGGAAAAGAAGAAATGGGGGGGGAGGAATATGTAAAATAAAGAGTAGCATTCAAGTGACTCATTAGCGTAAATTGGGAAACTTAACCCTGGTTTCATCCCAAGGTAATTTTATCTCAGGACAAGTAACAACAGAGTTTTTCTGCCATGGTGTATGCTAAGTTAATTGCCTTTTCACACTCCTTCGCCTTTTTCCTTGACCTGACACCTACGTTTATCTGTGAATCTCTACTGCTCCAGGATCAAAAAAAGATTGCAGGAATTTATTGTCTGATTTATGAAGAGACTAGCAGAAAAGTCTGTAGTGATTATATAAACGAGGCACCATCACCATTAGATAAACTTGATGGTGTTCTTTGGCAGCATTGTGTTAATGCCTTCTTAACTTTGGAATGGGCATATTTTTAAATTGCAGTAATAGTCTGTATAATTAGAACTAAAAATTTTTGCCAGGTACGTACCAGTGAGAGCGAGTCTCGGACACAGTGGAGGGGCGTTGCAGTGTCATTAGCAATGCTGGTGAGATGCCTGATTGCTTCCAGCGACTTCTTGGGAGGCCACCTTTTTCTCATCCGGATGCTTCTTTGTGTAACCTCTGTGTAACTGGTATCTGACAAAGTTGAAGTGTGTTCCTGCCTTCCTTTGGTACCTACCTGGAAAATGAGCCTTCTTTCCTTCCGCCTTTTTCCCGTTTGCCACTGCTGAGCTGCTGGGAATTGAGTGTTGGCTACCATGATGTTTTCTCCCGCCCAGTATTGCCTCCTGTTAGGCTCATCATGGAACCCACTGCAGGGAGCGTCAAAAGGGCCTGGAGAGGTGGCACAGAGACCTTTCCTGATGGACTGCTTCCCTGATGGCTTCTGTTGCTTCAAAATGCCCTGTGGCAGCAGCATGAAATCGAATTTCACAACTGCTGCTCAGCACTGATAATGGGATGGTTTCAGAGGAAAGAAAGCACTGGTTTCCAAGTAGCTTGACTCCTGTGCTCCTGGTAGCTGTTGTGTAAAGGCGGGGGGCAGGATGGAGTGCTCCTCCCCGATATCTCTAACTGCTTACACAAAATAGAGAATTGGAAAGACCACGATCTAGCCTTTCCAGCTGAGGGACTGAGCTTGACAGATGTTTCTTTCTCAGTGCTAAGGAGGAAAGTCCCTGGCCAGCTGCTCTAGAAGAAGGGGTGAAAGGTGAAGAAATCCTGTGGGGCCTGCTGGGATCATATCTTCTGCCCTGCACACGTGAGAGGAGATCCAAAGCTCGTGGCTCTCATGTCCTCTCCTCCTCCTTCCTCTCGTTGCAGCTATTTTGTGTTTATTTTCCTACTTTTAAATTGCATAATTTAGTTCTTCCTGTCACTTCCTAATGTCTGAATCATGGGTAGCTCTTCCTGCCTGCAGTAAACAAGCATTTTACTCCTGGCACCTTCCCAAAAGTTAAAAATGTATTTGGAGGGGCGGGGGGAGTCTCTGACAGTGTGCTTGGGAAGCTGATTTACTTGTGTACAGATTGGGTGAGCTGCTTTCTCCATATTTCTGTGGCCAGTTGAATTTTTTTTTTTTCCCATCATCTGAGCAGGTACATTTGAGCAGGATATAAAAAGTGTACTAAGTTAATAACAACAGCAACTGGAGATAGTTGCTTCAAGCCCTCCTGCTGTTGCTATTCCCTTTTCCCTGCACTCTCTCATACCTTGCATATATGTACATTGCTGAGATACATGCTGTCTGCTATTTAACTGGTCGCTTATGATAAATGCTGTCTGGTCTAACTTTGTTCCTTTTTGCCCCTTTTTTTTTTTTTTTTGCCTGTTTGCCTTTTTGCCCTTTTTTGCCCTTTTCCGTTCACTGCAGGGCAAGAAGGTAACACAAGGGACTTCAGGACAGGTGTTCTGCCTCCATCAGCATGTTGGGCCTTTTAGTCTCTGTAAAAGCTACAAAACATAGGTGTGACGTTCTTGCCTTTCCTTTTTTTCCTATTATTTTTAAGCTTTTAGAAGTCTTTATTTTTTAATTTAAGTTAACTGTGACTCCAGAATAACGCGTGGAAGATAAAGTTAACCCTTTCCCCCATTTCCCCTCCCCACAATACGTTTTTAACTGTTGGGAAGGGGAGGTTTCTTACCCCACCCCACCCACCACCCCAGCTAATCTGCTCTTTATGGGGAAAATTCTTTTTGGATCTTGATTCAGCAGCCCCACAGTATGCTGAACAGTACAGCTTCTACCCTGTTAGCTACATGTGTAGCTGGTAAATGCACTGAAGCGTCCTAAATAGGGGCAGAAGAAGAGAGATTCCGTTTTTTCTGTTCTGGCAACCTTGCATTTGTGCTTTCCCATCAGTCCATGCATCCTCACTTCACTGTGTGACCCTTCCTAGTAAGATGGGAAGAAGGTGGGAAGAAGTCAAATGTATTTAGGACAGACTAGATGAGGTAAGAAAAACCTCAGTCTGACTTCTTAATTGTGCATTTTTGTAGAAGAGAAAGAGCTTTCTTTCCAACAATTAAAGTTTACAATGATTTTTTAACTGCCTTTCATGTTGCAGGGGAAGCATATTCTACATGTGGATGACTTCAACCAAAAAAAAAAAAAAGGCAGGTTGTGCCAGTAAAGCAAAACAATAGAATGTTATTTTATTCTAGTTTAATACCAATTTCAGAGAAGACAATTGAAGCAAAAACGCTGTGCTGTTACATGCCATTGGAATACCTCATCTTGTAGTTTCTCCTGAATGAGACTTCATATGCACAAGGCTTTTCCTTGTGCCATTTGCTCTCATCCAGTGAGCAAAGGAAAGGATGGTTGTCCTCAAGAAGTTTGATGAAAGATTTTGGAACTGCTAACTCGTCTTAGAAGCTGTGAATAAGTTGGATATCCTCACTGTTGCTGTCTTCTGCTTACTCTACTTCCCTCCATGTATGGAGGAATTTACATTTCTTTCCATGGTAGTGGAGGGAGTTCTTGATCCATATGGTTGGAGCTGGATTGAGTTTTCTGTGTTTGCAGTATAAAATTCATTTGCTTGGGAGTACGATTTGGATAATGAAAAATGGCAGAGAAATGGGAAGAGATGAGGTGTGGTAGAAGACAGTACTATGTCTATAGTACGAATGGAAAATGATGGCAACCTAGTTTTTAATAACACCACAACATTATGGGAGCTAAATATACAAGCAATTATATGAAAATGTTTTGGCCCATGCTGATTTTATCCTTTTGTTATGTGCATTTTGGAGACCTTGAAACTGAACGGTACAGATGCAGATAAATACCATATTTAATAATGTAGAAATTACTTTTATGTCCTTTGTACACTGTATGGTGGAAGTTCTGCTGAATCAAAAGCAAAAATGAAATGATTGGGATCTATAATTACAGTATTGCAGGACTGTGTACAGTATTGCAGGATTGTGTACTACTGTCTTTCAATTTAAGTTTGTAATATGAAGTATTTGGGGTTAGAATGAAGGTAACATTGACCAAAGCATAGGGGGACTCTATTTTTCAAACTTTTACATTACTTAAGTTTACATTTACATTAAGTTAATGTTGTAGTATTCTATGGTAATATTTTATCCGTTCTGGTCAATAAATATCGCACTGGTATGTAAATCTACTTCTATTTGAATTTGAAGTTCCTAAATTATGAACTTCTATTGATACGTTTCAGTGACTGCATTATTGTCATTCCTCTAAGGAGATCACAGTCTTACCATCTCAAAGGGAGTGGGGTTTTTTATTTCCTTTTTAAGGAAACTTAAACAGTGTTCAAGTAAAATCCAGTGGAGGGTCATGTGATTTAGCAAATAGTTTAGCAGTGTTTCTATGAGTTGCTCGTCAAATTCCAGTAAGTCTCAATTTCAAATGCAAATATTTCTCTAGGCAATTGACCTACACAGCCTTAAGTTGCTATAAAATACCTTCATAGTGTTATGAAAAAGTCATGCTAAGCTTTATACCAAAACTTGTAACTCTGAGAGTGAGCATAAACCAGGAAAACAGTTCAGACTCTAGCAGAAATGTACTTTCCCACAAAATAAAATCCAAGGATGTAGCCACCGTAATTGTGCAATAAACTCACATAAATGTGATGTCATAGTCTCTGCAACTTACTGAAGGGGTAGTCTGATTTTGAAATCAACTGAGTAGTGAATAACAAGTCTCTGAATTGGCCCAGACAACAGCAGACACATGTCTGCATCATTTTGGGAAAGCAGTCATCTCCTTAGAGAATTAAGCTATTTCAAAATAGAAGTTGTTGACTTAATGTGTTACTCTTGGCTTTCCATGAAGAAGAGCAGTATCCCACAGCGATTACTTCTCTGAACAGATCCCTAAATTACTGACTGTGTAGGTAAAGCAGACTGAATGGAAGAAAGTTCATTGAGGCTACTAAATGTAGTTCCTCTGAACCACAGTTATTCTCCGGTAGAATTTAAACAACTCCTATTCTTCTGTTTAAAAAAAAAAAAAAAAAAAAGGTCCCCAGATGAAGATGTGATTGCAGAATTGCTCTTTATCTACAAGGACAGATTCATAGGCTTGCCCAAGGGTGTTTTCTAAAGTTTAAGCAGAAACCAACCAACCTTTAAAGTTTAAATGTCATGATTCAGAAACCGTTTCAGGTAATTATTGTATGTGATAACAAGGATGGGTGTTTGAAGCGTAGTTCTGTTAGGCATATGTTATCCTAATGTAAAAAGGCAAAATGAGAGGGTCTTTTAAGTTTGTTTCAGTTACAGTTCTTGATTAAAAAAATAAGTGTTGTTACTGAAATTGTTTGAGGGAACATGTTGAATGTCTATCAAGTGGGGTAGAATCTATCTCAATGTCCAAATAAGAAAATATTCTAAATATAATAAAGCACAGTATATATTATTCAACGTTAACCAAAGCTTCTTGGTGAGTATACAGTAATTAAAACAATTAAACAATTTATAAATTAGTGATGTGCCAACAAAAGATATGTCTTTGCCTTCTTAGTAGGAAAATCTTCACACCCATCCCTGTATCCTTCAGGCAAGAGCTTGTGTAAATAAATAGGCCTTGCAGTATGCACAGAAGGTCAGCAGATCTGTAAAGGGGAGGAGGGAGCAGAATTCAGAGCCAATAGCCTTCCCAGAAAACTATCTACTGGTAGATCTCCATGTTTGGAGGCCTGGGCTTCTGCCTATTTCAGTCCTTCCTCGTGACTCTTAACAGATGTCTCTGACCTTTTCCTGTGTCACTAATTCATTCATTCTTTGTATATATTCCCCTTCCATCTGTATTGACTTGAGAAACAATCGAAATTCTCACCTTGAAGTTTCATATTTGGCATTGTGACGCTACCCCATGCTACTCTGGTCACCGCTTTAATGTCTCTTTTAGAGTGTTATAGATATGTATTTTTTCTCCTTTGGTCTCGCTTTCCTTTGGGGACCCACAGCTTCTGTGTTAGCTCATATCTCTTCCTCTTTGCTCTTTCTTGCCCTTGCCCTGTCCACAGATGACTTCCTGTGCTCAGGTTACTTAAGCTTTGTAGTGATGACACTAACTTCAGTGTTTCTGCTCGTAAATGCTGGCTCTTCTCCTATGAATTATCACTTGTGCATTGCTATCATTTATGTTTTACTGTCAAATAAAGTGTTTTTTTTTTTCTTGGAAGCTCTTTGCAGTCTTCCTTCTCTATTATTTTGAAATATACCCATATCTTTCTACTCAGTAAGTCTCTTGACACTAGAGTTACTTGGAACAAGTAGATGATATTCATGATAGTTGATGATATTCCAGGAATAAGTAGATGATGTTGCCTGAATTTGCTAGTTGGTAGGCTTATAGGCTTTTTGCAGACAGTACAAAGTTGCAGTGATCTCTTATCACTCTTGCTAACCATATTGTGTATCTTCAAATGCAAC